TAGTGCACTTAATAAAAAATAACTGGAGTACAGAGTGTACAGTAAGGCTCTACCAAGCCCCTCAAAAATGTTCCACAGACCCAATCGTTTGTAAGTTTGTGTTCGGTGGCACATGCGTGCGTGTAAAGAGATTGGAAAATCTGCTCCTGGAAAACCGCAGACCATGAACCATGCAGACATCATCGCTGTCTCCTGCAGTGCTGGCATCCCATCCATTTATCAGGCCAGCTGTCTCACCAGGTAAAAATAAAACAGTGCTTTGCGTTCACAGGGATGGAATCAGCTCAGAGCCGGGGCTCACTGCATTCAGGAGTCTGAAAGTGGACAGGAAGAGCATCACAAACAGCAGCAGAGCAAAAATCAGTTCTGGTCTGGAAAACTCCTCCAGCAACAGAGAATAAAAATAAGTGAGCGTTCAAACAAACTGTACCACTTCTCTCTTTCATAGTTCACTGCTATTAATTTTAATTAACTTACTTAATTGAAATGGCCAGAATTCAGTCCCCTTCAAAAAATGTCTTCTCACAGACTTTGATTAGCTTCACAGAAATACGGCAGATGACTTTAAACGGCATGAAGGTGGATTTATTGGCAGCAGTGTCAGATTTGCACTTAGCAAGGAATTGGCAGATAGCAGAATATGGCTGGAGAGGATTCAAGCTCCAAGGACTCCAAGCTGTAAAAGGATTGATTTGAAAAGCAAAGCACAACGTATTTACTTCAGTTAAAATTAATAAAAGCTTTTAAGTAAAAACATGAAGAAATTAAACTTCCACTGAAAAGCAATTGCATTGCTTCAAAGGTACGGTCAAAGGGATATTTACTGCTTTCCTCCCTTGCTGTGTCGTTTATTGCTTCTAGCTGTAGAAAGGTACATTGATCTCCTTGATCGGGTATATGTTCAGAAGTCAGATTAAACCCAAAGCTGCACAAAATTACTTAGCATACAGGAAATAAAATGCTTTATTTTCATCCTGAATCAACTGTAGAAAAAAGCAGTGTATTCACTGTGAATGAAAGGCAGAGAGTCCGAAGCCCCAGAAAGCACAGAGCGCTCCGAGTAGGAGCCCTTTGTGCAGGTATACAAAGGCCTTGGCCAGGCTCTACAACAACAGAAAGGATGCGGTTTCGTGCCAAAACATGTTCTCACTACTGAAACATCACCAGCTGAAACCATCACTTTATTTGGTCTTGGGGGGATTTTTTATCCCAAGTTCGGTTCTTTCTTTACGAATGTCACAAAATTGCTTGTAGCAGTGCTTAAAATACCAGCTCCCACACTGACACCTCATTAACGCTGGCAGCCCTACCGTTGGGGACAGGCCAGCGGTGCCGCTGACAGAACTCTTTGCCAAGACACCAAGCAGGCCAGGGTTGCTGCAATGGGGCTGCCGGGCCTTGCTGCAGCTGCCTCAGCCCCACACATCCCCAGCCTGCCAAGCCATGCGCAGCTGCTGCGGCCACAGCACAGACATCATATATGGCACCATTTGACTTTGTTGAGTCATTTCAAAACTGCGTTCAGCCAGAATGGTTCACAGAGGATGCAGAAAAGGCAAGACTGCTTTAAAAAGAGAAAAGGAAAAGGAGGAAGAGAGAGAGAGAGGAAAGGAAAAAGGGGCAAAAAGATCAGTATCTCAGCTTTGCTGCTTTATGCTACCACACCTGTATGAAACACCTCTATGTTACCGATGGGACATTCTGTCTTTTTCCAGTGGCACTTAAAACCCTCAAATGACATTCAACTATTTCTGTTTCTTACAGCTACAGTTAGCTTTTTTTTTCCTACTGCTACTCGTCAGTGATGTATCTGCAGGAAACTGAGCAAGTCATGTTCCTGCTTTGCAGGACATAGCTTTAGATTTCACTTTCTTGGAAAAAAGCTGAGAGATGCTTTCCATGGTAAACTGGCAGGTGATGGGACTGGTCTAGCAGCCTGGATGGAGCTCACCTAACTCCAAGTCTGTAAATGAGGCCCCCAAAGGAGGGGCAAATACAGTCAGCTCTGCTGTTTGGATGAGCTTGTGTCCCGGGAAGCCAGGGATGCTACAGGCTCATATACCTCAAGCGACATGATTACAGGCATCAAAGGGAGAAGTTCAGAGGCAGGCTACAGCAGAAACTTCTATGCACGCAGGTCACGAAGGGCCAGTAACACATCCTGCATTCAATGGGTTGTGTTGCTCTCCATCATCACTCTCTGCTCTGCACACTGCTTCTCCTTTCTTCCACTGAACTACACTAAATGCTGCAAGTGCCTTACAAAATGCCTCAATATCATGCCTTGGTCCACGATGTGTACTGGCACAGCAGCAATACTGAATAAAATTCAAGTCAGAACAGCAAGGGATTTTTTTAATTCTCACTTCCCTTGGCCACTCTTAGTAATTCTGGATAAGAGGAAACGGTTGGCATTCACTAGTAGGTCTGTCATCCACAGATTTCATCCATTACAGTGTGCAGAGAAACCCACACATGGACAGTTCATTTACGTATCTTTTTTGAAAGAATTTTCTTTTCACTGACTTAATCTGTTATTCTAGATGAAATTGCAAATTTCTGCCAAATAACTTAAGAATAATGTATGTGTTTTTGTCAGCAGCAGAAGTCGTAGTTCAACCCATCGTTTCTAATGCTTACATGAAAGTCAATAAAATGTAAAAGAAGCAGAGAAAGCTCCCTTTGTACTTGACAGCCCCAGAACTATCAAGTTTTAAAATGCTGCTGGTACCGCCACATAAATAAAATTGCCAAATAAACCACAAATATAGAGTTATGTTACTGTCAATTTTAGAATTTAAGGGTTTGCCAGTAAGGAATTAGAAATTCACTCATGTCTGAAAAGTAAGCTATTTTTTCCACTTAAATTCACAACTTCTACTTAGGAACTGCAGAAAGGTCAGCCACAAAGTCACACGCTGAAGCCAGATCTTCACATTGCCCTGCACTGTGCCTGCACAGCAAGGTCACCCAGACAATTCGATCCACAGATGTGTCTGCCTGCAAGGGGAGAGGAAATCAAAACATCTTCATGAAACTCTCTTGCCTGCCTGGGTCCTCCTTAGTCTCAGTAACAAAGAAAAATTAGGGCACTTTAAGGAAAAGTGGAGATCAGCTACAAAACCACCCAGTGAAATGAAGACAAACTTTGCCATTCTTTTTAAGCAATGAGAATTTTCTCCACGAGAACAGATCTTTTCTGTGTCAGACTCAGCATGAAGAGATTTTCATTTTTAGAGCCATAAGGAACTTGACAAGTCAACCTACTATAGTCAGTAGTGTGTTAATCTTTATGCATAATAATCGCAAACCTACATTGTACAGGTTTGGTAATCATAACTGACATGAGCTGAATCTGAAGTATACACTTCTTTCAAAAACAGAGGCGTATGTAGGTAGATGTGTTGTAGAAATATAATATACTACATGGCTGAGCCTAGATAAGCTGGCGATTCTCAAACGTCAGCATCAGCTGCACAAAGTTAGGGTTGAAATCTAGTCTCCTAAATACCTGTTCATCCTTCTTATGACACTGACTCTAAGGAGCTCAGTGAATAGTAGATAAAATAAGTATCTAATGAGGTATGACAGAAACTCTGATGGAGCAAAACAGCAGACATCTAAATTCTAATAAATAAATGAAGTAAAAATTTACTGCCAGCAACCATGCTGGCAGCGTAGTTGTTAGCCATAGGTTAGCCATATGTTAGCCATAGGAAACTGCAGCTCTGCAGCTGGAGAAGGGCAATACTCAGCAAGCCAGAGAAGCAGAGGAACTCATCCAGCTTTGATTATTTATGGTGTGATGATGAAGGAACAATTTTCCACACGAGACACTGCTTTCAAGTTTAAGAGCGAAGCTGAAACAGAGATTTAATAAAAAATCAGAGGGGAAAGAAACTACAAAAACAATAACATTCATTTTAACAATTTAAAACTATAATTCCTGTGCAAAGCCAGATGTTACCTTGTCCGACTTGAAGGTAAACAACAAACGGCACTCATGACGACCATTCTGTTGAACAGCACTATCTAATGGTACTGTAAATACAGCTCATTTCGTTCTTCCAAATGCTATCAAACTGAACTCAAATTCAAAACAAACGCATTTTTGAAACACAGAACAGCTCTGCATTAAATACAGATGTATTTTCAAAAACCCCAAGCTTTCATGATCTACCATAATCCTAATAGCCTGAAATGTAAGAATGCTTTCAGGCTCAGAAAAAAAAGGTTTCTAATTTTAAACATTTATGAGAACACCGAGAAGCAGCTTAGAACTATGCTTTAAAACATATTTTCAGGCTTTAAATTGCTGAAATCTGGGCTGTGTTTACCCGCTTGGCCTGGACTACAGAAGGAAAAAGAAGTTCAGGAACATAATGAAAGTGAAGATTGTACATGAGAGTTTCCACTTAAATAAAAAAAAAAAAAAAAAAAAAAAAAACTGGCTCCTGAGTCCCAAACCTCCCCCAGCAGCACAGCAAGCCCCTCTTTTAAGGAAATGAGAGAGTGACTCTTCTTGGTAAAAAAATAAATAAATAAAACAGCACCAAATCACTCATCTACATCACTGGCTCTGATGCATCATTTTAAAACACACTTTTGGAAAGTATTTTAGAAGGACTGCCCAGCCATCATTTGTGCTGTTCCTGCATAGGGGGAACTCGGTGTCAGCGCTGCTCTCATTTCAGTGCATTTTCAACTATACTCAGTATATTGTATGCATTAAAACATATTTTTCACACAAGCATAAGAACTGTGTTCCTACAGCAGTTCAGCACACAAAGTATTATCCTAAAACAGTGAACAAACCAGTTGTGTATTCAATGGAACTGATAGTAAGAAAGAAGTTGTAAAAATCCACAGGGACTCTTCCACCTCACCGAGCAGCCCTGCACTTCTATGAGACCTTTCCTTTTTTATTTTTTCTCAGCTTCAGTCTTGTAGTCCAACACAGGCACAGCACCGTACAAGAAACAACATTCAAAACCACTGGCTCAGAAAGCTGCCTTTACTGTTTAAAAACAAAAAACATACACAAAATATTCCAACAGCTTCTGGAATTCCCCTTGAAATCCCCAACATTTTTTAGATCTCTTCATAAAATTTTTTTGCAAAACAGTGAGAGGCCACGCAAGGCATTTTAGGAATGATTCTTTCATCACTCCAATCCCTCAATTACAGTTTGACCACAAGAAGAAATGAATGGAGCAGTAGTTTAGAAATAGTACTGGTGTATTTTTCAGTCTGCCTTCTGATATGCTGATTTCTGTTGAACAGTGATACAGTGACTTCTCAGCTCACAAAGAACGGCTGGGAAAGGCCTCTGGATCCATCTGTACAGTAGATGCGGAAATACAAGCAAAAAAACCTTATTACCTGCATCATAGACTCAGAGGAACAATTTCCCATTGCAGCTATGTGTGGGCCAACTACACAAAAATAGAAGAGATATATCAAGAGTGTTAAAGGCAGAGTGCTGCTAAAGGTGTTCTCAGCAATAGCGCTGCTGCCACTGGAGGAACATGGAAAGTGCTTAAAGTTCACAGTGAAGCATGTGATCTATTGCAGAACATCAGATTTCCCTGCAGTAACAAGCTCAAATTACTATTTTTAAAATCAACTTTTTTTTTTCATTTTCATACAGCAGTCAAGCTTTGAGAATTCCATCTCCACAGGTAGTGAGTAACTCTTGTTTTCAAAGGGCTTGGGAAAAAAAAAAAAAAAGAACTGTAGATTTTTCACATTGAAGTCCAAAAATCCCTGCTATTACAAGGACTGAACGTAACACCTAAGAAACTTAGTGTCCAAAAAGACTGAAATTCAGAAAACAAAATGTAAAGGGGTTTTAAAGATAACTATGCTCTGGAATGCAGGTTGTGTGTATGTATCTTCAAAATTTTCTACTGAACTGCAGTAACAGAGTTTTAGCATGAAATCTAGAAGCACAGTCGGGACTGAAATCACACTTTCAATCTGGTTTGCCATTTTGTTCAAGATTGGGATTACTTCATATAAACTGATTTATTTCTGTGTATAAGTGTAATGGAACTTAAGCATCTTATTCATTTTAACCATTAGCATTGAGTATTTGCTGCTGCAAATTCCTCACACGTTCATCAACGCAGCACTGTAGAACTGAGCCTCAATATTCACCAATGCTAGAAAGTTCAAAAATTCCCTGTTTTGAGAACAAACTAAAAATTGTCCATAAAATAGAAGAGTCTTCACAGTTATGATGACTTTGCCAATGATTACAAAGATCCTCCTTTCTTCCAAATAACTGCTTGCATAAAATGCAGTTATATCCAGCTTTAGACCAGAATTCAATCTTTTTGCTTGGCGCCCCACAACCTACATTTTGCATCCCCTTGTCTGCTTCACTGCTTCCTGACTGAGTCATTTCACTTTTAGTTAATGTATCAACATCACTTTGATGGTGAAGGTATATCTGTCTTTTCAGTTTTGGAAAAGTATACAACTCCTCCTCGTTGTCACTGCATTTTGCCAAGAGTCTTCTTTCACTGCGCTGTTTCCAGAAGTGAGCGGCATGTTTGATAAGTTCTCCCCTAGTTCCTCTATTTCCTTGCAGAGCTCCTTCCTTTACTCTTCCCTGGATCTCTTCTCCATGAGAGCATAACAAGTGAAACTTCATTTCACCAAAAGACTGTGCAATGAACTGACACTGACCACATCTGATCTGTAATTTAACTTCTCCTGGATTATGGAATAGATCTTCAAAATCGCATCTACTTCCCCTGTTAAAAAAAGGAAATAGAAACTATTTCAGAACCAGCCATGCACTAAAGAGATGATCCACGCAAGTTTCAAGATGACATCTATGAAACAATCTTTTAATTAAAAACAGGCACTGTTACTACAGCATCCAATTTATTAGGCGCAGCTACAGAACCCAATAAAATAACGGTAAGGCTAATTGCCTTCATAATAGCAAAGTAATCTCAGTAAAAATAATCTTTTAATGCCACTAACCTTTTAATAAAAGGTGAATAACATTTTTTTAAGTTCTTAATTTGGTGGTGTCATTTCAAACTGTTCTAGCTCTGTGCTAGAGAAGTGCAAATAAGCATTTCCAGTAGCTGACTACTAACAGAAACTATCATGTTTGCACCTGACTGACATGAAGCCAAAAGCACAGGTCCCACCTCTCACTCTGAACTGGAACCAGGAAAACTTCAAATCTCAGTCTTTTTCTAAAAGCTTGTAAGAGCATTAAAAAAGTTTTAAAAGGTAATTTACGACTGGACAGCCCCTTTCGCTAATTTAGAACCGCTCTGTAGTAGAAAGGAAACAGATGTATGTATGAGTTAATATGCTCCTGGCTTAAGTTAAGCCAATCAAAAGAAACTCAACAGATCCCCCCTCTTGCAACATCTCGAAAAAGGACCACACCGTCATTTATTTGTATGCATTTATCAACACACTTTGGACAGATTACCTAACAAAATGGATATACTAAATGATTCACTGTATGACAACTAGTGACAGCTGAAAGAAAAGTACTGGTACTTCTTAAGCCTCAGTACCTTAAAAATTCTCTATGTGATGCCCCAGAAGTAGAATTACGCAAAGCAGACACACACAGCGCAGTGCGGAGGCATCAGGTGAAAGCAGTGGGCTTAATGAAGCACACTTAAAGGTAAATGCACAATGGAGTTAGCAAAAACGCTAACCATTTTACTGTGCCAAGAACATTCTCCTCAAACTCATAGAGTAGAATTAAAATACTGTTCTATCCATCTTAATATGGTGCATACCAACTTTCTGACTTGGCAAAGCAAAAGCAAAAGCAAAAGCAAAAGCAGAGGTAATCAGCACACAAGACAGATTAGCTCACAGTACTCCAGAGAAGGAAATGGAATAATGATACTTAATAGTGTAAACAAACTACAAGCTAATACCGAAATATGAATTGCTTTTCACTTATTGCAGTTGGTTCACTTATCTTCTGGGAAAAAACACAAAGTGGATACGATACAGTCAGAAGCTATCAACTGATCAAAACTGTTCCACTGCCAGTTGGGTATTCCTAGAATACACGCAAAACTACTTTGGAAATTCCAGTGTCAGTAATAATTTATATTCCATAGATCATCTACAATACACTAGATAGTTTAATACATTGACTAGATTCCACTAGAAAAAATATTTAAATTATCATCAATCTTACTTGAGAGAAAATACATACCTATAAAAATCAACAATTTTCATAATGGTGATGTTTATGAATTTCTATGAAATTATTATGAAATCTATTTTCCTTAGCTTTTGATCACTGAAAACACTCACCTTTCTGTTGCTTCTTCTGCCTCTTTTATATTCGTGTCCCTGTTCCTCAACGCATCTTGCATCTGTTGCTCACTACCAGAGGGCTCTGTGCTAATAACAACCCTGTGCACTTCCCTTAGGTGACCAAAGTATACTTTTGCATGGCCAAAAATCTTAGCACAGAATTCACAACACACAAACTTTTTGGGCTTGCCTTCGTTGTGATGAAGTTTCATATGCGTGCTCAGGCTTCCAGAATGAATGTAAGCCTTCCGGCAAATTCGACACGTGTAGGGTCGTTTGTTTGTGTGTGCATTCATATGGTCCTGAAGATGGTGTTTGAACTGGAACTTATGGTTACATACATGACACCTATGCCATGGCTTGGGTACAGCTGAGCACACATTTCTACCCAAATCAATTGATGTAGCTGATGTGGTATCGTTATATTTATAACTTGAATATTTACTGGCAAGTGAACTGTTTAAAAAAACACCTTTGTTTGAAAGGTCAGGAGACCTTTCCTCCACCAGTGCCGTAGAAGGCAGCGGTGCAATTGCCTGCACAACTACCACTGGTTTGGGTCTAATATTACGGTATTTTTTCACTGCCTCTGCTTTTTTGTCTTCAGGTGGCTGAAGATCAGCTTTCACCCTCTCTCTTACTTCTCTGAATTTATTAACGATGCATTTCCTTCGCTTGGCCTGAAAAGGCAATAAATCATCTTGGACTCTTCTCTTCCTGCCTATCCTTTTAGAGGGTGCACCATTCAACTTTTTAAGGCTGTCAACATCCACTTCATTGGATGGAGAGAAAGTGTTTTCCGGAACGGTTTGTTTGGGGGCTTGAGTCAAAGATGCAGCCAATTGTTTATCAGATGCTTCAGCAGGGGCGTGAAAGGTTTTCACCAAAGCTGGTGTCTTTTCACATTCAGGTCTCGGTGAAATACCGGATGTATCCTTTGCGTTAGTACTTTGTGATTTACAAAACGCTGAATTTTTCATTCTTGAGTAAGGCAAAATAGGAAGTTTTCCCGTTGGTGCTGGTGGAGTCATCTGTACTGTACTGCCAAAAACTGCTGGTGACAGGATAGAAACAGAATTTGCAGAATTTGTGGGTGCTCCCTTTAGCTTCTCTGACATAATGACTGACTCTTTCGTGGTTGCAGATGCTGTCTTCACAGAGTCAAGGCTGAATTTCACAGGATTACTTGAATTTTCCGGCTTGCTTAAAGACTCCTTAACTATAGATGGTCCAGAAACATTACTGATAGCAGTTTTTGTTTTGTTCACTGAAGGAGATCCAGATTCCACACAAGTGTTCTTTCTTTGTAATGTAGAAACCATCATTTCAGATGAATTATGGTCTGTTAGCATCACTGGCTCAGTTGAATCTGAGCTACAATGAGTTTTTGGACAGTCTTCAGCTAAGGTAGTCACGGGGGAAGTCTGCAATGAGATCTGTCCTTTGGTAGATACCTTGCTCTGTGTATTCAAAACAGAGGCTTGGCTTGTTTTATTGTCACAAAGCAATTTGTTTCTCACAGACTGGTAGCGAGGGATAGGCAACTTTTGGTTTTCAGAATGGGCCACATTTGTTGGCTGGCTTGGCTGTATCACGGCAGGGGTAATGTATGGCAAGGCCAAAAGAGAAAAACTACCCTGATGCCCAGCAACCTGCATGATGGCATAGTTTTGAGCTGGTACCACCAGTGGTTTAGAACCTGCTGCTGAAATCGCTGTACGTTGTTCAGGCAAAGATGACTGAAGACAAGAAACCATTCCAGATGTTAAAACTTTTGGCACCATTTTTGGAGCAATGGTCCTAAACTGACTTTTCTTCTGAAAAGTTTGTATTATGTCCACAGGGGATTTGTGTTTATCTGTAATAATAAAGTAACACAGACAATAGTAAACTGTATAGTATTTCTTTTTTTTATACTGCTGCAGCAGAAATAAAACTGCTTACAAAAGATACTATTAAACACAAGCCTATTAAAAATATTAGTTATTTAAATGAGCACTAAGTTTATAACTGCAAAAGTCTCAGACAAAACTACTCTCTGAAACAATGCAAATATTCACATGCAAAACAAAAACAAACAAAAAAGAAAATAATCATTTTTTATTCTAATTTTAAATGTATGTTTCATTCTAGATTACAAGCTACATGACACTTCAGGACGTAGGTGTGCATAAGGCTCTTCTACTTGCAAAAAGCTGTGCTAGCATGGCTTCAGTATCGATTTGGAAGAACAGGACATCATGCTATCTTTCAAAATTCTCGTACCACTTAGAATTTGTGGGTTTTGTTAGATACAGGCTACAGCTTACCCAATGAAGCTGTCAAAAAACCAACTGCAATAAAACATGCAAATGTGTAAAAATAAATAAATCAATGAGGACTTAGGAGAAGATGAACCATTGCTAAAAACCCAATCACACACAACGTTCATCCATTTTTACAGCACAACAGAACTGCATGTTGATGTAAGTTATTCAATTATTTTCTTAAATATGCAATTTGCCTTAGTTATACTCCAGTTCTTTGCTGTTTCTACTTGTGTTGGTAAATGTCATAAATGTTTTTAAGGGAGAATAGGATAATTAAGGAAAATGAAAAAAAGGAGAAAAAAAAAAAAAGGAAAACCTACAGTGTATAAAATAAAAGCCACATTCAGCTGCAGAGACGTATATTGACCTTTCACACGCTCTATAAAAAACAGGCTTAATATAAAGCTAAATTGCACTGTTACCATTTCATATAACAGCCTCATTACCCACTCTCAAGTAAATTCAATTAATGATGCTTCCAGTTCACAGAAACTGGAATAGGTTTTCTCAAACAACAAAGGAAACAATAATCCAGCAATCTCAATCACTGACAATTCAATCACAAAGATACTAGGATACCAGATATAAAAACCATTCTGGAAAAACAACGATGGATGTAAGAAAAAATAAATTTAAGAAAAGATAACATGAATAATATATGTAAAAATAAATGCTGGAATTCCAAAATACTGCAATGGCAATGAGGTAATTCCATAGAGAAGTATCTATTCCTTTTTAAACCCTGTATTATGAATGTGTTTATACATTGTTACAGACTGTTACAGACTTAAAGAGGTAACTGTGAGTGACTACCAACACTGGAAACTCCAGTAAGTTTGTTTTAATACTGGATGTTCTTTCCAGACTTTACACACTTTGCAACAGGCACTGGAAGTTACAGAGCTATCACATTTCATGACCAAGACTCCTGGACAGATGCACGTGCACACACATGGTAAGCACATGTGCAATAAATCCACTGCCTTCAGGACACATTAGACTCACTGCTCAATCGCACAGAAACCGTACAGATGATACACGGTAGGGCTGATGCTTCTTCAAAGCCTTCGACCTACAGCATGTTTATAGAGCAGCTATACAGAGCATAGTCCTTTGATCCTTTATTGCCATCTAAAGCATCAAAATCCAAGTCTATCATACATCGCCTTGTACATCCTCCCCCCAGTTCAGTGAATCTACTGGGCACCAACTGTACTTTTCTTTGTTGCTTGATGCTTGTAGAATTATTCACAACTCGTATTCACAACAACATATTCTGTGAAGACTGCACTACAGCATACGTGCAAATCCTGCACAAATACCAAGAGATTCCTACACACAACAATAAAGCCAGGCCTAAGAAGTTTGTGCAACATGGATGAAGCAGAAATGTAAAAATTATTTCCTTATGCTCCAAAAGCTAGAAGCATGCACTGTTTTTTCACTAAGCACCTCTGTTTTGCCCACCTCCAATCACTACACATAGATAAATCCTGATCTTTTCAACTGCTGGATTGCTAAAAGCACTGAGAATTGTTTGTGCCCTCCATGGTATCTTCCTGCTGCTGATTTTAAGGCAATATTTTTAAGTGCTTCTGAGAAGTATTTTAAATATTAACCAAACTAGACTCTGAACTTCAAAGCCAGTTACAGGTCAAACTGTACAATCTGAATGCATCAGATTATTGAACAAGGGTATTTTTCTTTTAGGGGATGGAGTGTGAGCTTACTCCCCAGATTATGCCTGCCATTTAAGGATAATAAATTTCCAAACCAGTAGCTATTCAGTGTGCCACAGTAAGCAAGATGAAGCAGTTTCCATTTGCTCTTCAGGTCAGCCTTGTGTCTCTCCCTTCTTCGTTTTTCAAAATTTCACTCACTGATCTACATAAAATTTCTAGGAACACCAGATTTCTAGAGGACTGAGCTGCTTCATGCTGCAAGTTAGGAGGTTACCTTCTCTCCAACTAATAGAAGCAAATGCTCAGGAAACAGATTTTGCAGTGGACATGCCACTACAAGGATGCTGAGATGGCAGCTGAAGCATCAAGAGTGTTTAATTCATGGTTAGAAGCAAATGCTTGCAGTAATAACACATTGTACTGGGTATAAAAATAAGCACAGTCTTCTCAAATATGTTGATTTGCCTATTGCAATTCAAGATGTAAAATCACTTTTACTTACAGAAGGACCATCTACATTATTTTCACAGTATTGTAGAAGAAAGTACCATTCAAGAGGCCAAGACTCTCACAAAAATTAACCACAAAATGGTGTTAGAAACAAGATCCATTTAGATCAACATTGTTCTTTCTCCTCCAGCTACCCTAATGCTAAAGTACTGATACGACTGTCTCAGAAGGGATCTTTACACAAATGCTCCTTTTCCATTTAATGTAATTTTATCACGAATACTTTCTCCAGGCTAACCATGTTTGGTAGCAGCCTGGAGTACAAGTTGTATTTGTTTTGTTTTGCCAAGTTTACATTAGACCTTTTAGTGCAGAAATATTCATTGCCATGCCTCTAGAATGCAAAAGATACTCAGCTCTATATTTCCTCCTCATCCCACACAGCTGCTGCAGTTAAGCAGCTTAGCCAGTGCCTAAACATAGAGATGGGCTAGATGCAGAGAAGCTCTCTGATGATCTTTCAGACTGAGTTAAGATTGTGATGTGGACTAGGAACACTAATTTGAAGACAATTTAGCATCTTGGATCAGCAAAAAGGACCCAGTCAGTCCACAATTTGGAGGTACTACTGAGCCCTCCCAGAGCACCCAAGTATTATCAATGATCAAAACTATCTCTTTAATTTATACTTTGCTAGAAGTTTCAACAATAACCTTTAGACATACACATACTTTCAACGTACTTTGGACACTGGTGAAGTTATTCACGTCTTTGCCGCCATGACACTGAAAAAGTCAAATGACTTAAACATGCTCTGGCTGCCACCATTCCAGAAGGCTACCTGGATAATTAATACGCATCTTTCAGGGTCATTCCACTTCTATTCCACTCTATCTTCCAAAGTACTTCCATTAGTTAGAAGGACTCTTTTCTGACAAGGACTAGCCAGCTGTGAGCTGAGCAAATGAAGTCCGGGATCTGAGAAGGGGAACTGGCAGTTATGAGAGGCACTGTGATGGCACTTTCAAGGATGGCCCTTGTTTTAGAACACATTCCTTTTACAAGTCACAGTCTACAGGTCTGTCATTGCAGAGCAGCAGCTTTTATACTTTCTTAGAAATAAAGGAAACAAATGAACACACTGAATGCAGTATCTGAATGCTGTGCATCTCATTTTTAACTGATGTGTATTCAGTCTTTCACTTTTGCATCCAGTTGGAGCAATAGGTAGACACTTTTAAATAATTAAGTACAAGGTTAAGTCAAATGCAATTCAATCCATTTGCTTTAAAAGTCTCTGTTGAAAGATTAATGGTTACCACACTCATACACGTGAGTATCAAATTACTCTGATACTTGCAGGATGTCATAAGCTTTCTGTACTTCCACATTACCTTAAAACTGTATAGGACTGGCCAATGATATACCAATAAAAATCAATGATGTATCAAACTTCTGACAAAGTCATGCTGAGGAGAGTCCTCTGGAAGAATGGACACCTTCCACTGGGCTGCCACTCATTCATGGCTCTCTTTTCTTCACAAGTCATTCAAATTTAGTTTATTCCAATCTTTTTTGCCTTCTTTTTGTATGTCTTTCTGTTTGCTCTCACTACACATATAGCATGCAACATTGGAGAACTCAGGCATCACTGAAAACACCAGAAAAAATTACATTTCCCACCTAGCCTGCTTAAAAATTACAAAAAAAAATTTAAAAAACAAAAACAAAAAAACAACTCAGAATTCCTTCAGTCTCTGGGTATTAATGCCTTTTTTCTTTTTTAAACAACTCTTGTAAGCCTTCCTTACTTGGCCAGGCATATACTTAATTTGTGTATGACCGGACAATTGGCAGAACGTAACACAGAAGGACCACTCAGTTCTGAAAGAAAAGGCAAAATACAGATTAAAAAAAAAAACATTAACAATATTTTAATGCACGTTTTACTCTGCAGTCCTTTGCAAACTTCAAAAAGGTGACTATTGAGTTCTTTGGGAAACAAAATGCATAACTACTTTCTAACACACAACACTGCACTTATTTCAGTCAATGCTATACGAAATATCACTGATTTTACCACATCTCCATACACACTAAGTACCTGTGGATACTGTCTTTCCAGCACAACTTTCTTGTTTTTGCTGACCCAGCATAGTGTGTTGAACACTTTGTTTCTCTGCAGGATTAGCATGCAAAAAAACACCACCTGCAAAAGTGCTTCAGTCAGTTTCAATTAATCAATCCCAGCACCAGAAAGTATATAAAACATTATCTTTCAGTTAATGCATTAAGAAAGCTATTGCTTCTTGGTCTTTGCCATTTTCCCATCTTCACAAATGTTTTAAAATCCAATATATTACACACCAAACACAAGGCAACAATTTAAAAAAGAAATAAAGCTGTTTGAAGTGGTAAACAGATGTGATACTTTAACTTGAGCATCATGGTAGAGAGACGACAGTACCAAAACCAAAAGCTCAGAAAAATGAAGTTTCCATAACTTTCTGGAGTTTTTTTTACATACCGAAGGTTAAGTTCTATGCCAACTGACACTTCCCATAATCTTACATAAATTAACAGAATGGCAGCATTCTAGAAAACAGAATCTGGCCTTTATGTTCAAAGCTACTTCTGCTGCACACCTGTAAGATATGAAGCTGGTAATAAAGTGCACAAGTCAGGAGTGTCCAACACCACATACACCATATAAGAAACAATGTTCGGTCATTTCTCTTTGCCAAATATAAATGGTTTGAGAGGAACACTCCATTCTAGCTACTTGCCTCAGATAATTTAAAAAAACTCACAGAAAATGAATGTCAGCCATCCCCAGGTGTGTGCATTTCTATTTTTTAATAAAAATATAATACATTACTAGAGGAAGACCTTGACATGTGACACAATAATTTCCTGTCTTACTGAAAAGCTGCCCCAACTTGGCCCAAGCTGTAGGCTCTCGGCATATGTTTAAGAGATACTTTAAGAAACTAGCTTTTCCCAATGATTGTGTTCCACTAAACATGCTCGTGCTTCAGGCTGAGGCAGATTTTTCCAAAAAGTACAGTTTTAGTTTCAAATATCAGTGTTGGAAACAAGAAAACTCTCCTTAGCTCTTAACTGTTGGGCTCACACAGCATGAAAGAGAAGCTAGGATATACAGAGGGCAAGCAGAAAAACGACAAGATAGTTAGAAATGAGATTTGGAAAGTGTCTAGGACAAAATCAGATGGGGATAAAGAATTATGAGTATACTTCAGATGAGAAAGGAACATTACTATGACATGTAATTTGGAATGGAGAAGCATTTAAACTGCAAGGATAATCTCATATCTTGCACTCCTTACCTTTTAATGCTTGATAACATAATCACATTTACATAGGAATTCTTTTGTGCAATTTAAAATAGATTGGAAAATCAAACATTACAACAAAGTACTCTACTGCAAGATTGGAAAGCCACAGAACATTTGCACAAAGTCTAAGATACATAACGTACAAACACTAGAAAACGTGTTCTGACATACCACTGGAGGAACAAGATCAAAACAGCTTGTTAAATTACTAAGAAGGGAAATTACATCTCTTTAGAGCTATATGTAATTAATAGTGATTTTAGCATCAATATAATTTGACAGTTGTTCACAAGGCATTCTACCGTTTAGAGACCTCCTTTGCTTTAAACTCCGTGCATGTTTACTATTTTATGGGATCAAGATTAAAGCCCATTTCTAGAAAAACACTGAACAGCAGGACACTTCCTGTATTCCTTAAATAGCTTCCAAAAGACTCTTCTTAGCTTCTTACAGTTGTGTTTGAGAAGTTTAAAAAAGCTTTTTTTTTTTCCTTTTGAAGGCACTATCTTTCAAATATAAACTACTCATTTCCTATTAAGGTTAATATGATAGGCTTTAAACAGATCAAAATGTTTTCATATCAAGAAACAAGAACTGCCACAGAAAAGCAACTATAATTATTAGTAATATTATTAGCAGCTGAAGAAATCACACACATTTTTCTCTCTAACACAGTAAGAGAACTTAGGAATAATGTTCATGCAAATAGATCTAAGGTTGCCTGGCCTCTGAAACCACTTTTTATCTTAATGAAGATGAGAACGCTGGCTCTTCCCTGCTTAAGAACAGAACACTTCTGAGAGATGCAGTTACATGCATATGTGATAAAAGAGTGCATTCCAGCTTCTGTACATCTCCGTGCTAGATTCCACCATCAACCACATCAAAACTAAAGCGTGCACTTTCTAGAAACCATGCTGCTCTGACACAGGTCAGTTGATTAAAAAAGAAACCATTTAGATAGCACTGCAGTTCCTCTATTTTATCTTTGTTCTTTTTGCCCAGTCATTCCACTCAAGAGAGGATTCCATCCCTAGAGATTTGCAAAGCAAGGCTTCAGTGCTGCAACCACCAGGAGGAAATAATTGTTCATAAAAGATAAAGGGAGGTGATGTAAGCACTGTTTTATAAATTTATAAAACTTCAATGGCATTCTGAATATGAATTACGTACTCTAGGAGGTGGGAACAAACATTAGTTTCCAAAGAAAAAAACGAGTGGATTTTCAAAAGTTCTTTTTTGGAAGACCTGCCAGTTTAAATTTCTTTAAGTGAATTTCAAGAATCAAACAGACCAAACACTAATTCATTCATTGTAAAGTTGATGTCAATGTAAAATCCTTTTTAATAGGACAATCAAGATCACATCAACCTGGACAAAATCCTGAGACACCTAACGTAAGTGGTAATTAATAGACTCTTTTTTTGTTAAGTTCAGGAGACAATAATGATGGAATCTGCTACAAAAATGAAGGCAGAATTCTTTAGAAACTGAGCAGCACAAAAGGTCAAGTAGAACTATTTTATGAATAAGTCATGAAATATTTTCCAACTACATTCTTGCTCACCTTTCAAATAAGCTGAGAACAGAATCAATCTTCATCTCACTGGGAATTTAACTTTCCTTCCATCCCTCTCTGGGATGGAAAACTACTACTGTTGCACTAAGGGAAATAAGACTGTAACACCTCAATTTTTTTTTTTTTTTTTTTTTTTTTTTTTTCCCCACAAATGCAAACAAAGCACTAAAAAAGAGTCAGACTGTTAATCATTTTATAGGGTACCCATTTTACGCTAAAGTCAGAGCACTTCTGTCTGAACTGAGACCTGTGTAAGAGAGGACAAATGATTAATTCTCTGCTCTGTCTTACAGATTCTCCGTAGAGCAAATCTGTATTACTTCAGACATTAGAAGCATCTATCAGCTAAGTTTTGCACTCAAAATGCGTTCCCCCACTGAAGATGAGCAAAGGATCAGAAGATGGTTAGACACAGCCTGACTCGTTCTGAGTCTTTTCATACAAATAGCTTTCATAGTTCTCTTCTCCAAAGGAGAGACTGGAATATAAAACACACTGTTCAACTTAGACGGATTTCTGGAGAGTATTTTCAGATGGATTTAGTGAATAGCTCATTTCCTTTTGTTGTGATCTAACCCAATGATCCTTAGATAGGTTCTGGGCAGCCTGGTCTAGTGGCTGGCAGCCCTGCCCATGGCAGGGGGCTTGAAGTTAGATGATCGTTACGGTCCTTTTCAACCCAGGCCATTCTATGATACTACAATTCATTCTATGATTCTATGAATGAGGAATCTCTATGGCTTTTGCTCTGGAATGCTTTTTATACTATTCCCCCACCCTTTTTTATCACAAGAAAGTTTGCTTCAGAAGACATATTACATGGCTTAATCTAAGACATGCAAAACATTGCTACCTATAATCAGTTCCAGTAAGAATTAAAACAAAAATGAAGATCATAGGATCTCCACAACACTCCAAATAGATTGAATATTTTTGAAAGGAAACACAGCCCCCATAGAGCAAATGAAAGTGAAGATCTTCAGAAAGAGCCTGGCTAAAATATTTGTTTTCAGAACAAACTTATCACTTGCTGCTACGCCTGAACATAGCTAGGCCATTCCAGCAGCAGGATGTAGCAGAAGATTTAAATTAGAGTATCTGAATGCTGTCCCCCACCCCAAGCATAATTCCCATTATCTTCAGTGCTTTATGACATTATTACACTTGCCCATGTTAGACGCCGTGTTACCTAAGGCAGCACTGATTTTCAGAAGATTGTACTGGATGTACTGTAAAGAAATTGATCGAATATGCTGCTGATAAGTGATAATGCATTAGCCAATGCTTGTAAAGGAGTACCAACATACAATGGAATTAAAACAGATACACAATTAGCAAAAATGTAGGCCAGGGATGACACACAATTAGAAAGAATGTAGGCCAGAGACGACATCCTTCATTTGCCACGCGCAAAAATATCATTAAATTTAACATTAAATTTCTGTTTATCTGGAGCGCTCGCTGAGTCGAGTGGCAACTTGCAACAAAGCAAGTCCTGGTCATTCAAGTCCAGCAGAGGGAGTCAGGTGTAGCACAAAGCCCCATCCATCCACCCCCGGAGGGTAGGGCTCTCAGGCCTAAGCACTGAGGTCTAAGCCATTGTTTTGCTTTTTACTTATTCAGTGCCAACTCAGCTTAGATATGCAAACTTGTGCCAATTAATCGACAGTAATTTTCAAAAAATGTAAAGGCTAGCCTACAAATCTGATTTTTCTTGTAACAGTAAATAAGCTTCTGCTGAAAAATCTTAAATGACACAAAAATTTAAGATACAGTCTTTACATGCTTCCCAAGGTTACTTTAGTATTGCAAAATATTCTACGTAGTGCAAACATTTCACTCAACTCAGTATTTTAAATAAACTTGAAAACATGAAAAACTTGAAGCAAAGCTGTTGAGCCTTCCTGTTAAAGCAATTAAATGAGTCTTGAGCTTCCCCATTAAACTATTATCTTCTCTAACTGCAGTACAATTTTTCACAAAATTGATTTAAAAAGTAGTTTAGAGAATTCTTAACTGTCAATATTTCAAATACGTCTGTGTTACTAAAAACATCAGTAACTATAACAGACTTTTTTTTAATAGACATCTGAAAATTAAGTTCTGTTGCCAAGATATTTTCCCATCCTAAGCAATGCCCTGAAATCTTTGTCAAACTTTCCTGCTTTCATCATTTCTCAGCTCATCACACAAACCATCTGCATAAATAAAGATGTAAGCATCTGCCGCATGGCAAATGGTCTCAGGGGCAGATGTTTTTATCCTTGCATTCATGTCACTGGCTTGGATACATTATTTGAACAGATGTACACAATCTGAAAGTGTCGTGTCCCACAGTGAAATGTCTCCAACTGCTTTCTATCAAAGTGCATAAATGCTATTTGCACCTGCATTTATGTTAATGATATAAAGGCAGCAGGGGTTCCAGCAAAGTGAGGTCTGATGCTAAGGAACACATTTACATGGTTAATTGAAGTCTGAGATCTCTACAACTACACTAACATTGACATTAAACTGTTATATTAAACTATACAAATTTTTTTTTTTAAGTTATATGACGATTTTTATTAAAACAAACATACAAGGAGCAAAACTCTACCAGCCTACGAGCATATTTTTCTAATTAATAACTCAAAATGACAAGAAAGTATTAAACAAGTTCCTAGAAAAAAAAGCAATTTCTGAATCTGAAAGTACCACTCATCCAAGGGGATTTCAACTCTCTAAGGTTCAAAGTTATTTTGTGTCATTATAGAGCGCTATAAAACAAACACAGCATTTGTTCAAACACAAATATCTACATGGATAGACATTTCTATTATGATTTTATAATTTTCACTGGAACTTTGAAATCTCAGAAGTTAACTATTTCTCATTACTCAGAGAAGCCACCTGTTTTAAATGTATGCCGCTGTTCACTGTACATGTAAAAAAAATCACCTTTCTTATATAATATTTTAGCATGAAGAAAATACGTGCAGAAGGAGCACGTTTCAAATTACAGAACTCACGCTTCTATATGACAAATGCTAACATTCTGGTTACGCTGTCACTCGAAGCACTTGCAATCACGGTTACTTCCATACTCAGCTGAAAAATAACGAGCCTGTTGACAGTACAGAGAGGCTGACAAAAGTACCATACCAAGTGCAGCTGATGGATATGTTCTACTTCCAACGCCATTCATTTTCAAACCTTTTATCTGTAGGAGACGTAACTGATGTGACAGTTGCACATAAAACATAATAAATTGCTAATAACTTTGATATTTTCAAAGGGCCATAACATTTGAAGAATCAAAGGTTGCTCATGGTATTAAGGACAAAGAAGAGTGATAGCCACAGAACACCAAACATATACTGAGCCAAGTGCGTTTGTAGAGCACCACGATTTCACACTGATACAGCTCTTGGTCAGGATGTGGTTATGAGCTCCATCGTGAGCAACACTCCATCGTGAGCAACAGAAGTTAGACCATGGCCCTTATAATTCACTCTGCATGAAAGCTCTTAATGGGATACACACTGAAAAGAATTTTTCTTAAGGAAACAAAAGAAAAACCCACCAACTTATTTTTGAGTTTGCAAATAGCTTCACAGTCTGCATTCTTCAGTTGTCCAGAAATAACTTTGTTAAAGAGAACAGAGTTTAACTACATGATGGCCAAATACCCTTAATTCACCTTCTTTAAATTATGGGAATTTCAGGTATTTCACTCCCAAGTATACGGATGTGGAGCACACTGCACAGTGGATGTCTTTATACAATGCTACGTACTACCTGCATTGAAAGAACAGTCCTGTTAGACGGAACTACATCAACAAAGATCAATTCACGTGATGCCCTCTTGGAATAGCTTCCTCAGAATTATCATAGACTTGACAGAAGAGGTAAAGTATAAACTCATACGACAGCAAAAGCTCAGTGCTTCCAGGCAAGTAATATAGAGTGCTGTTCTTAATTAACATAAGTACTAACAATGGAAACTTAACAGACAGCCTAAAATGATTCAGCAGGGTCCATTAGGCTTTATGTCATATCCATCAACATTCACGTTTAAGAGCTACCACTAAAAATAGTGTATGCTAAAAATTATACTTAAATACCAGTGTCACAACACAGAACAACAAGGAAAGGAAACAAAAGTTATGGATGAACACTTAGAGACTTCGGAATACACAGCTGTGGTGTAAATATACTCACTAATAATGAAGACAAAAATTCAAGACGCTCCACTGAAAAACTACATCAAAACATGACTTTTGAAGAGACAAAACAGCAGAAATGCAGTTGAACACAATTAACATTAATAAGGATAGAAATGCCGGAGAAAAGGCGAAGTTTGCATTTAGAAAATACGCACTTTCTTTTTTGTGTTAGACTTACAGAGTAACTTGCACATAGATCAGAGCCCCAGTTACACAGGAATCAAATATAGCAGTGATTTTCAAATATATAAGGATAAAAACTGTAACAAACCCTGAATATTTAACTGCTAATTCAAACAAGCAGAGTTATATACGTTAAAGTCTTAGTAACATTAATTACCCATGTCCTAAAAAGAAAACAATCTTAGCTTCTACAATCACTTAAATGTGATAGGTGTTATTATTTATAAAAATAACAAATAGTAATTACAGATAAACAGTAATGAAAAATTAGGGCATGAGTTACACCTACCATTTAAGCTTTCGTTAACAAGGATACTCTTTAGTCCACATTCTGAATCACAAATGTCTAATTTCTCAAAGAAAAAACGTATAGAAATCATACTGTACCTGCAGAAAAAGTTAAAGGATTCTGCATTATGCCCACTAATAGATAGGACAACGTTCCTGGAAAGAAGAAATACAGATGCTTAGAAGTTCTGATACTTTTTTTTAAAAAACTAAAGGAAGTTACTAGTAGTGTCTAGTTAAATGCACAGACTCGCAATAATATTCCCACACCTTGCTGGGAAGATTTTTTAGTTCAAGTGTGAATTTAGAGGGAGCCATAACATGTAAAGAGGTTTCTT